ATTTGTCAGAACATAAATAAAATATCACACACCAGCCGGCAGGTAGCAAGCCCTGGCCATCATCCTCTCCTGCCCTCCACAGGACTGGGGTTACAGGGACAGATGTGGCCACATCTGACTTTTTGACATGGGTACCTGGGATTCAAACTCAGGGCCTCACGCTTGCGTAAGAAATGTGTCCTTTTGCTCAGGGAACTGTTTCTCCAGTCCCGGGTCACGTCTACTTACTCGGATGAAATTGTAGTGTCTGAAAAACTTGAGGAAGAAAAGCCCTGGGCTCTCCTGAGCTTAACTGATGGGAGTCGGGTGGAAAGGAGGGAGAGGCAGGCAGACATCCCTCTCTGAGTTTGAGGCCAGCCAGCAGCAGGCTCCAGGCCAGTCAGGGCTACACTGACATTATGTTTCCGTATAGAAAAGCAGAAGACAAGACTGTGTTGTACACAGACACTGCCAGACCCTAAGGGTTCAGGGGTTATGGGGATTTAGTCAGCCTTCTGAAGGAATTCGGGTTTATCTTCGAGGAAATAGGATGCCACTGAATCTAATCAGGTCCTGTCGTCCTTTGTCCTTCTCAACTCACTCGTCCACCTCCAATTTCTGGCTGGTGATCCAGGTCTTCCAGCATCCGGTTCCCATTGTTTTTGCCACTAGAGCCCGTTTCATAAAGTTCCTTGTTTGCCTTCCCCTCTCTGATCCAAGATGGGGAAGGTCTGAGCACAGACTCGCTTCTGCCTTCTCAGATGGCATCTGGTAACCAGTATAATGCCTGGTGCACAGTAGGGACTGAACACATGTTTGTAACCATTCAGTGCCTGGTGCACAGTAGGGACTGAACACACGTTTGTAAGCAGTCAGTGCCTGGTGCACAGTAGGAATGAACACATGTTCATCGAGTTTCGTGTTAGACGTTTATTACCCTGTTATTTGAAATATACACAGTGAGCCTACTATGCTGGCTCGTTTCTGTAAGTCCAGAACTTGGAGAGACTGAGGCAGGAGGCTTGTCATGAGTTTGAGGGCAGCCTGGGCTACAGAGTGAGACCTTTTCTCAAAAACAGAAACAAAATAAAGGGGGCCAGGGAATATCTCAACAGGTAAAGTCTCTGCCACCAAGCCTGACAACCTGAGTTAGATCCCCAGAACCTAACAGTGGCTAGAGAGAACTGACCCCTTGTAAGTAGTTCCCTGACCTCCACACTCGTGATGGGATACACACGCATTCAGAGACATACACACACACATATATATACACACACACAAATAAATATCAAACCAAAAAAAAACAACAACAACAAAAAAAACACAATGGAACCGAAAGCGTCACAGACCTAGAATTCCGGCACAGAAGGCAGAGGAGGTAGAATGGCTCCAGACTCCAGGTTGGCCTTGTGTTTTCAGGAAGTTCCAGGCTAGCCTGGGCTACATGCTAAGATGCTGTCTCAAACAAACAAATGTAAAGCAACAACAACAAAAGACAAAAGAGGGGACCATTTCCCAGTAGCAGGAACGGCTTTGCTGTTTCTGGTTATACTGTCTTGGAAAAAACGGTTTTATTAGATTTTTTTTCTCAGATGAAATACTAGGGTTAGAACTAAATTCACTTCTTTAAAAGATAATCGGCCAAAGTTTTCTCTTACAGTAAAACACAAGTAGAGAGAGAATGGGGGAAGGTGCTGGGTATGGCGAGCTCTCGGGCAGGCCCAGCCTTTGGAAGCAGGCAGAGCAGGAGTTCAGGCCAGCCTGGTACACCCCCAAAGCCTGTCTCAACACACCAGCAGCAACAGCAGACAACAATACAAGCAGTAAGTCTGGATTTTTGCTTAGAAGTGAGAAGACTGGAACAGGTTGCCGGCAGGAGCAGGCATTCTGAGTACTAACAAAGGCAGCTTTGTACAGACGCTGGGTACAAAGGGAGTGAGGTGGGTTAAAGTGTATCAATCACCAGAGTCAACCGAAGGGGTTTCCCTCTTACAGGTCGTGAAATGAGGGCATTCATATGCCCCGCAGAACGTGTGGGGAAGAATCGGATGATGTTGCTTTGTTCCCAGAGAACGTTTCTGCGGTCACAGGACTGTGACATCACAGAACTGGAGCAAGAAACCGTGCTGGAAGGAAAGATTCCTTTGCTGTCTGGTCTGGGAACTGGGAAGAAGTTCTGAAGGTTCCATGAGAAGTAGAGAGATTTCAGTTCACACTCGGTATCGGTAGATTTTTGAGGTGTTGAAACTTGGCCAGTTTTGTAAGTAACTTTGACGGAGAAATATTTCAGGCTGTACAGTTAGAATCAAACTTTCATAATATGCAAATGGCTTTACAATATTCATTGAACTAAATTGAAATGGTGAACATGTATGGATTTTGTTTTTGTTTTCCGAGACAGGGTTTCTCTGTAGTTTTGGAGCCTGTCCTGGAACTAGCGCTTGTAGACCAGGCTGGCCTCAAACTCACAGAGATCCGCCTGCCTCTGCCTCCCGAGTGCTGGGAGCAAAGGTGTACGCCACCACCGCCTGGCACATGTATAGATTTTTTAATTGTGCTTATCTACGTGCCTGTGTGTGTGTGTGTGTGTATGTGCGTGCGTGCGTGCGTGCATGTGTGCGTGCGTGTGTGCGTGTGTGTGTGTGTGGTGTCCCCTGGGCACAAGTGGAGGAACTGAGGACAACTTGCAGGTGTTGGTCTTCGCTTTACACCTTGTGGGCCTTGACAACCAGACTCAGTTCTTCAGGCACGGTGGCAAACGCCCTTATCCACCGGGCCGTCACACTGGCCCCGTGTAATTATCCTAAAGTAATTTCAGACGTTGGAAAGTACTGTGCACAAACTTGCTCATTTTCTTTGCAGTGTAATTTAGTCAGGAGAGTCGGCTCTAGGGAAATGATTCATTCCAACGGGCAGGCCTTTGAAGGGATTTGGTCTGCTTCCCTCTCCCACGTGGGTAGATGTTTTGAGCACTTAGATGTCTCTTCTGGCTGGGAGTTCCAGGTCTTCTCTTGATGGTGATGACCACTTGATGTTTGGTCCTGGGAACCTGTGACTTAGACCGCTCCACTCTCTGTGAGTGGCTTTCTGTCTGTCTGCCACTGTATCCCCCCTCTCCTCGTCCTCCTCTCCTCCCACCCCCCGTTTCTTTGAGTCTTACCTGTTCTTTGAAGTTTTTAGTCTGCTTGGCGGGCACATGTGGTCAAGTCCTGGGGAATACATGGAACTGTATGAAAAGCTCATAGACTGGGAAAGAGCTGAGCAAACGGGTGTGGGGAGCAGGTACTGTAGTCTTCCTGCTATGGCATGCATATCTGGGTTGTCAGGAAACATTTCTGCATTTATTGCTTAGTAGGCGATAATACCAAGGGAGTTCACCTGGGAACCAGGACACTCCGTACCCTTGGCCTATCTATCTGCTGGCTTCAGGATTATCCGGAACACCTGCCCCGGCTTCCATGTCACCAGCTGACTGGTCAGAAAGCCCCGAATAGTCCACCGTCCTTACCTTACTAACCTGCTAACTATGGCAATATTACTTAGACCCCTTGTGACTCAATTTCTCAAGTGTAAATTATGAATATATAGCAAGAGCATTTTGAGGCCTGCTTGGGAAATTTCCAAGATTGCTTGAGCTACACAGCAGGACCCTGTCTTAAAAGCATTTTTATAGTAATTTTAAAAATTATTTCAAAAACTAAGTTAGAGATCTCTATTTTGTAGCTTTCCTACATTAGCAATATTTCTTTCTAGAGCCCCAGGCTTCCACCCAGTGTAACTGAGTGGGAGAGCGTGTTCTTTGCGTGTTCCTATGTACACATTCCCCAAACAGTCAAACAGTCTAAAAGACCGCTATGGTTCCTCAATGGCTAACACTGTTCGGTAGATGTATGTACGACAGCCCCCACCCCAGGTTTTTTTTGTTTGTTTTTTCAGGCAGGGTTTGAACCCAGGACATGCTAGGCAAGTACTACATCCCCATTGTGTTTTTAGACACATCTGATCATGTATCACAAGGTGACCGGACCTCGTACCCAGCCTGGGCTACCCACAAATTCGTGACCCTCCTGACTTGAACTTCTGGGTGCTGGGTGGTTCCCAGGCTTGGGACTCAATCCCAGTCAGAACTGAACCTCCCGTCTCGCTTACAAACATATTCTGGTAAAGGCTGGTCTGCATTCCCCGGATCTGCTCTCGTTTTTGCAATCTCTGGACCTGAGAGCAGGGTGCCAAGGGTGGTTGTCTCCCGAGAGCTCACTCACAGGGAAACGGTTTTCTTTCTCTGTAACTCTTTATTTGCATTGCAGATAACCTGTGTGTCAAAACAGAAAGACAATAAAGAATGCTAGGCTGTAGACATAGGGAGTGGATGTTTTTAATATGTTCTTTGGCAGTTTCATACATGTATGTACTACTTCACAGTTGCTGTCACTCTCGGCCCCCTCCTTTCCCTGTCACCCCCCGGCCTCTTCCTTACTAATCCCTTTTCTGCATTCATGTCTTTTTGTTTCATCTGCGTCTCTCAGGGTTTGTTCAGTGCGTCTGTGTGGCCATGGGACTGGAAATATCCATTGGAGCTGAGGTGGGGGAGTTTTGACAGTGAATGGGTACACAACCTAAGACCATGGCTCCTCCTCCCAGAGCCTGTCCGTCAGTAATAGTTCACCAATAAGGGGCAGGATCCATGAGCCCCTCCCCGATCCTCGACTGACTGTTGAACCTGTCCTGTGCAGGCCCCCTGTAAGGGAAATGGTCTTACTTTCCATCTTGAGTTGTGCTGGGAACCCTTCGACCAAGGGTGTCACATTTTTGTTTTCCTTGGCTTGTTTGGTTTTTATCTGATTTCAACTGATAGGTAACTAAGAAATACTCAGCCTTGACCAAAGGTAGAGAAGAGATTTGATTGCCAGAGGAAAGATAAGAAACGCTGGGTCATTATTTCAATTTGATGCCAAGATAATTGAGTAACCAGACACCACACCGGCTCCCTATAATTGGCCTAATCAGCATGTAGACGTTTCTAGTGAGTTTGAGCACTAGAGCTGATGGCGGAGGGAATGCATAGCTGCTGGGGTGGTGTGAGGTCTGGTCTCCCCCCTCCCAGGGTGCCGCTGTGAAAGTGTCCCCGCTTGGGAAGGTGATGCTGCTTGTCTGAGTTAGACCTGCCTCCGCATAGGAGCCGTCCCAAGTCCCTCATTCCACTGTCTAAGGAGGTGAGGCACTTCCGTGCAGGGGTTTCATCCCGTGGGAGGGAGTCCTGCTTGCTCAGGACGGAAAATGAGAAGGGGCTCTCGGTGGACTAGAAGTGCCGAATAGGTGTTTGGACTATGAAAGTGGCAGGCATGACTGTGTTCATTTTTTCAGCTAGCCTAGAGAACACTGGAATTCACCTAGACACTTTCCGACAGGTCTATGTAATTCTCTGTGGGACATTTTAGGTCTTAAAGTAGAGGATAAAACTTTACATGGAGCAAGTAATTTTTTCATAAAGAGACAGCTTTGTTTCTTGTTTAAACTTCGTTATGTTGGCTTTGTCCTCCCCCTCCCTCCCTCCCTCCCTCCCTCCCTCTTCCTCCCTCCCTCCCTCCCTCTCTCCCTCCCTCTCCCTGTCTCCCTCCCCGCCCCACCTCTCTCCCTCCCTCTCCCTCTCTCCCTCCCCCCCCACCTCTCTCTCCCATTCTGTACTCTGACTTGTTGACATCTTTTCTGTTCTAGGCCATTCAGGAAGCTTTTATTTTACCTCTCAGTTGAATTATACAATGAGTCAGTGCAGGTTTTCAGTTAGTTTCAGAAGTGGGTTTGCGCTGAATAAATATGAACCGGGGGGGGGGGTTGGTATGTGATAAAGGCATATTAAGTGTGTGTCGTATGGGTTACCAGTAACAACCGATTCTTACCGGAATGCTGGTGAACTGCTGTCTCTTAGTTTCTACCCATGTCTGTTCAGGGTGCTGGAGAGATGGCGAGGAAATGTGAGTCATGTTATTCTTGAGGTGTGCAATGTTATCACCTTGTAAGAACTATTGATTTTAAGGTTTTTTTTTAGTCAGTTTCACATGTATACAATACATACTATTGTTATTTATATTTTATCTGATCTGTAGCTCTGGTTGACTTGGAACTCATTTCTGTGGCCCAGACTGACCTCAATCTTATGGGCGATCTACTTGAGTACTGGGATTACAGGTGTAAGCGATTACACCTGGCTAAATGTTAGTTTTAAAAAAGTAGTATAGTTGGCAACCAGGGTGCGCTCTCTCTCTCTCTCTCTCTCTCTCTCTCTCTCTCTATATATATATATATATGTATATATATATATATATATATATATGTATATATATATATATACAAACAAAAAATAGACGTATAGAATCAGTAGTAGAAAAAAAATAGCAACAGCAATTTCTTAGATGAATAAGTCAGTTGTGAGCTTTGTGCTTCAGCTGTGGCTGGAAGTTTCCCTTCTACTGAAGTGAAAAACAGATGTTCTGACTTTCATTATAGAAAAGCAAAACAATCCAGTTTTCAGCATGATGTACTGACATGCCTTCAATTTTAACTCAGGAGGCAGAGGCAGGAGAATGAGAGGGCCAAAGGCGTCCATGGAGATTGTAAGCCAACTTGGGCTACATGAGATCTTGTCTCAAAAATTGAGCTCACCAGGTTTACTGTTACATTCTTTTAATCCTGGAACTCAGAAGGCAGATCTCTGAGTTCAAGGCCAGCCAGGGCTAGATAGTGAGATCCCCATCTCAAAAATCAAAACAGGGCTGTAGAAGGCTCGGTTGTTAAGAGTGGGTGCTCCCTCCCAGAAGATTAGCTTTGGTTCCCATAACACACTTTGGGGACTGGAGAGATGGCTCAGAGGTTAAGAACACTGGCTGCTCTTCCAGAGGTCCTGTGTTCAGTTCCTAGCAACCACGTGGCTGACAACCATCTGTAATGAGATCTGGTGCCCTCTTTTGGCCTGAAGGCATACGTGCAGGCAGAACACTGTATTAGTAATAAATTGTGTGCGAATCCTCATGATTGCTTGCTTGCTCATCTCTCTTTCTTTGGCCTTTTTAAGAGATGATTTGCCTATTTTTAATTTGTGTGCTTTGGTGTTTTGCCTGCATGTATGTCAGAGTGATGGTGTCTGATGCCCTGAGGCTGGTGACAGACAGCTGTGAGCTGCCGTGTGAGTGCTGAGAATTGAGCCTGGCTCCCCTGGAAGAGCAGGCAGTGTTCTTAACTGCTGAGCCACCTCTCCAGCCCTCTTTGTTTTGAGTCAGGGTCTCCCTATGTCATCCCAGCTGGCCTTGAACTCACAGAAATCTGCCTTTCCCGCCCTAGTGCTAGGATTAAAGGTTGTTGTCACTGCACCCAGTCCTGCTTCTTTTATTAAAAACCTGCTTTTATATATAATTTAGATGATTCTTCACATTTCAGTTGGTTGTTTTGACTGGGCTAGATATAATCTAGCAGAGGGTGCTGGGTGGAATACTAGTCACTCGGTCCTCATTCTGTGGACACAGATGTATTTATTCTGCCAGCGTTTTCTTAGTAAATATGGGGTGGTCTAAGAGTTGATTGTGTTAGTTGATCTGTTGACTTTATTTAGTTATTTTTGAGCTGGGTTTTATTTGAAGCTCAGTTTAGGCTTGAAGTTTTCACCCCCCCTCCACCTAGTACGGGGATTTCAGGCCCACCTGTCATCACCCCTCCCATCCTTTAAGAGGGGGAGTTTGCTATGTTGCCCATGATGGCCTTGAACTCTGGTCTCTCTCCACCAGAGTAACAGACCACAGGTCCTCAGCTTTCAACATGTTTTGGTGTATTTGCACTCCAGGTTCTACGTATATTTCTTTTTTATATTTTTGGTTGTGAGCCTTGCCTTTAATGGCTGAGCCATCTTTTCTTTTTAAGAACTCTCTCTCTCTCTCTCTCTCTCTCTCTCTCTCTCTCTCTCTCTGTGTGTGTGTGTGTGGGGGAGAGACAGAGAGACAGAGACAGACAGAGACAGAGAGAATGAGATTATGATCATGAGAATCAAATTAGCTTCTCTGAGTCTCTGCATTTGAAAATTTCTATGAGATATAGTAAAGATTTAGCACAAGAAGACTTTGTTACCCCCACTATTATTTCTTTGGGCTTCAACACAGTTTTTACAAATGTTTAGCTTGCCTTTCAGCTATGCAGAGCTTAAGGGCTGCAGAATTTGATGCTATTTGACGATAGTCTGCCAGCATTGGCTGGCTGTTGAGTAGTGGCTGACTCAGTGCCTGAACCTTGTCAGGCTTCTGTCTGTGCAGTATCCAGAATGCCAGAGTATTGTATGGTGGCCAGTTGCTCTTTCATGCTTCTGGAATTTTCCCCAAGTTGTCAAGAAAGTTGACATCACTCCGAATTACCTAAGTCAAGCTTGTGAGTTCTTGGATGCAGTTTAGGTGGAAAGGTTCCAGATGACGCTAACAAAGTCAAGATTTTTCTTAGATGCCAGCTCTGTGCACTGTAGTGGCATTTCAATTGTATTTTAATAAATAAAGTTTGCCTGAGGATCTGGAAAGTAAAACAGTCTCACTGGTCAGCATTTTAGAGTGTGTGTGTATGTGTGTTTGTGAGCACATGGCTGCCCTGCGTGTGCATGTAATTGCGGATGCCCATGGGGGCTGGAAGCTAGAGAGGCATTGTGTTCTCCCGAAGCTATTATTACAGGCAGTTTGAGCTGCTTGATGTGGGTGTTGGAGCAGAACACTTTTTTTTTTTTATTGCACTTTAGAGGTAAACTTATATAAAGCTTATATATAAACTTATTATAAAATCAGGCAGGACAGTGTTTGGGGGAATATTAATTCTTATATTTCTGAGTACTTGTAAATCAGCTTAACAAAATAATGACAGGGTAAAGTATGTGAATTACTGTAACTTCTGTTTTTCACCTATATTCATAGGGTAGCTGCTGACTCAGCCCCTCATTCTTTACATTTTTGCCCAGGAATAGTTTTTTTTTTTCTTCTTGAGATGCAGAACCAAAAGAAAGTCATATATCTGCCCCGTCTTTGTACATTTCTAACATGGCCCATTTGAGACAACAGAAAGAGCACATTTGGAATGGCGGAGAAATTCTTCACGCCGCCATGGTGTTTGTTTTCCTACCGTTCTGGGGATCAGACCAAAGACCTTGTGCATTGTAGGCAGGCGCTCTACCACTGAGCTACACCCCAGCCCCATTTCTTAAGACATCTTGCTAAACTGCTCAACCTTAGTCTTGAACCATTAGTACTCTTGTGTTGTATGATGTTTTACTCTTTTGGCTTTTGGGGGACCCACCACCCAGCTCCCAAATAAATCACACACGGAGGCTTATTCTTAGGAGTGCCCGACCTTAGCTTGGCTTGTTTCTTGCCAGCTTTAAGTTATTCTGTTTACCATTTCCCTCTGGGTTTTTAATCTTTCTTATTTCTGTATATCTTACTTTCCTTCTTACTCCATGGCTGATTGAATGGCTGGTACCTGATCTTCATCTTCTCTTTCTCCTTCTCTTCCCTCCTCTTCTCTCCTTTTATACTCTCTACCTGCTGTCCCGCCTTTCCTTGCTCCTGCCTCATTATTGGTGGTTCAACTCTTTATTAGGACTGTCAGGTGTTTTAGACAGGTAAGGAATCACAGCTTCACAGAGTTAAACAAAGGCAGCATAAACAAAAGTAATACACCTAAAAGTGATTTCCCCAACACTCTTGTCTCGCCTCTTTAGTGCCTTGGATTACAGGTGTGGGGGCCACCATACCCGGTACACAAGAAGCTCAAGTTGCCTTTTGTCTCATAATTGGCAGTGGGAGACTAAATGGATACTTTTAACTATTACAAGTTATTAAAAAAAATTGTATCCAGGCATGGTGGCATATGTCGTTAATCCTAGCACTCAGGAGGCAGAGGAATCAGCTCTATCTCTGTGTGTTTGAGGTCAGCCTGGTCTACAGAGTGAGTTCCAGGACAGCCAAGGCTGTTGTACAGAGAAGCCCTGTCTTGAACCCCTACCCCCAAAAAGTAAATATAAATGGGACCCTATAGTGTTCACCTGTAATCCCAGTTTGGGAGGTAGAGGCAGGACTGTTGCTGCACTTTGGAAGTCTGCCTGGTCTATGTGAAGAGTTTCAGGCCAGCCACGACTGTATAATGAGATATTGTTTGAAAAAAAAACAAATAAAAATTGTAAATAGTAAGTATGATA